ACAAATAGGACAGACCTCTGCTACACACCCTCAACATAAAATTTAATAAGATGCAGAGACCTTTAAAACTCATCATTTCACACTGTCCAATCCACTGTCTGACAACTTATACCTTTTTCTCTGTCAATCCTAATAGGCTGTTTCACAATCACATAAACATCAGACATGTAAAAACAACATCAATGTATCCTGCAAACATTTAAAGCAAGTTATTTACATCAGTGTTAGTAATAGTGTTAGTGTTAGTGATCGCAGTAATCTTCCACCACCTGTCAGAATAAAACAACTTATTTGGTTCCCTTTACACAAATTTTTTGTGGACAGTCAAGATGGGAGATTAAATGTAAAATTCTCCCACCTTAGGTTCCTACCTGCAGAGACAGCGCCAAGGTTTGTCTTGGCTAGGGTGTGATGCCGCCTAAATTAATTCAGACAAACCATCCCAATTTAAAGGATCATTTAATATTACAATTATTCTGAACAGAGTAGCAGTTGAATAGACAATCTGATAGTTAGGGAACAGAGAACAGAGACTCTCCTCCTGCAATGTGATAGATAAAGTATTAAATAAGAAGATTGTCAAAAGCGTCAGTCCAGTCAGTTGTCAGTCTCCCCCCGGCCGGGTCCCCCAAACAGCACATGGTTTACTGTTCCAGTAGCATTCTCTCTCTCTCTCTCTCTCTCTCTCTCTCACTACCCCTTCAGGCTCACTCTTTTATCCGCAGCTTTCCTTAGGCTGTTACATCAATTTCTGAACTTAGTTTCCTGTCTCCAGTTTCAGGATACAACACCCTGAGATGTACTTCAAAAACAGGCAACATCTTGACCAACTTATATAACCTTATTGTTCAGCTCACATGAACTTAATGAACCCATAAACACTTAGCTCACTCTCACACAACTAGTACAAATAATATCTATATATGAACTACATACTGTTCTATTACATATTCCCTCTGGAACCTTGTTTATTTTTAACCACTAAACATGCTAATGACATCAGCCTGCTGCTGTGGGCGTCCACTGACTGAAGTTTAAAGCAGGCAGAAGAAGCGTTTCAGTTAGTTTGGGAGGGACTCGGTGTCCTTCACACTATCAGACACTGTTGACTGTAATTCTAATAGTATTTGTGTTAATTCTTTAGCTGATCTCTGATAGTGAAATGTAAATAAGTTTCTCATTTACAAATCTATGACAAAAGGTTCAGACTCAATAGACTCAGTTCTTCTTGTTCTCAAAGTTACTGTGTTTTGAACCATAGAAGCAGCATCATGATAAACTCTACACAGGCTTCATATTTCATACTTGCTGCCTACTTTGACACCGGTGCTTTAAAATACTTATATTTCATAGTTATTATATGTTTGTATATTTTAATTATTTGTGCTAATCTGTTGCTCATTGTTGTTATCTGTATGAACAGAGGTTTACATGAACCTATGTACGTGTTTCTGTGCAGCCTGTTTGTCAATGACCTGTATGGTAGTACAGGGTTGTTTCCATTCCTCCTGGTTCAGATCCTCTCTGACATTCACACTGTTTCTGTTCCCTGTTGTTTCCTGCAGGTTTTCTGTTTATACTCTTTTGCAAGTGTAGAATTTACTAATTTAGCCGTCATGGCTTATGACAGATACATTGCTATACGTTTTCCTCTACAGTACAACACACGGATGACGTATAACAAGGTTGTCATGCTCATTGTTGTTATATGGTTACCTCCTTGTGTTGCTATTTTTGTCACAGTATCATTGAATGCTTCATTACAGCTGTGTGGGAACATCATAAACAAAGTGTACTGTAACAACTACTCCATCATGAACCTGGCATGCTCTGACATCACTGTAAATAACATCTATGAACTCACTGCTGCTTCTCTCATAGTCTCTGGTCCAGTATCTGTAATCCTTTACACGTACATCAGGATCCTTAAAGTGTGTTTTTCTGGCTCTACACAGACCAGACAGAAAGCTGTCAGTACCTGCTCACCTCATCTTGCTTCTCTGCTGAACTTTTGTTTTGGGATTTATTTTGAAGCCAAACAGAGCAGATTTAGTATGGACAGTGTACCCAATGTACTGCTAACATTTTTGTCATTGTACTTTGTCACATGTCCCCCACTCTTCAACCCCGTAATTTATGGCCTGAATATGTCCAAAATACGCATCAGGTGTAAAATTTTAATTTTCAGGTTTGTTGGAAAGTGTAAGAGAAAACAATAAATGTTATGTCTTTGAATCCACAAATGTCAACAATAATAATTTCATTTAAGATATTGTATCATGCAAGTTTTACATTTACATTTGACATACAGTATATTTATTAGTCGTGGACCATGTACAATAACCATAAATTTGACAAAGAAATGATTACCAGCTCATTTCCATCTGCAGTCCCTGGGCAGGTCAACAGAACAACTAACATAACTAATGTAGTTGAAACAAATAAGAAAAGCAAGCAATTCATAGATGAAACAGTCCAAACCCAAAGACAAATTTGAATCATTACATGCAGCACTTATGCTACTGTTCTCCTGATTATTGATTATCGTGATTTGGTTTACATGAAGGCACTGGCATTTTGTCTTCATAAGTTGGATACTGTTTATCATAATGTTTTAAGGTTTAACACCAACTTAAAACCTTTCACCCATCATTGTGCTCTGTTCTCTAAAGTGGGGTGGCCTTCTCTCACCATGCAACAATTGAATCATTGATACCGAATTGTTTATAAAGCCATTTTAGGCAGGCTACCTTTATATGTTTGTAAAATGATAGTTCAAAACTCTGTCAGACTACAATCTAAGGCCATGACAAATATATCAACTCGGGATTCCATATGTAAGAACGGAGCTGGGAAAGAAGGCCTTCTTGTTTGCTGCTCTGAATAACCAAGAGATGTTTTAAGTGGTGTGATACTAAAGTGAAGTGATATTTTAAACACCAAAAGAATATCTGAATATCAAACAAGCTTCCACCTTCTTTCAGCCGGTTATTATTAACACTTGTAGGACTTGAGGAGTCGGACTTGACACCACAAACAGAATAACTGAAGTCAGGCTAATTCCGTGTTAATTTATATAGCCAAATGTTCTGCATTGCAAATTTGTGTCAGAGGTCTTTACAGCCTATGCAACATTAAACCTTTTTTTAAAACATCATTATTAGACTGTGGATCTGAAAAAGGAAAAACTGCCTTTAACACTGCTGTTTTAGTGTAAGCTGACAGAGGGCTTGGACCCGTGATTCTTTAGTTGATCTGTGATAAACAGTGAAATTTAAACAAGTTAAACACTAACGAGTATTTAAGAAAATGCAGCATTAATATTAAACCCAGTTATTCCTGTTCACAGAGGTACTGTTTTTGGAACCATAGAAGCAGCATCATGATGAACTCTACACAGGTTTCATATTTCATACTTGCTTCCTACTTTGACATGGGAGATTTAAAATATTTATATTTCATTGTCATTATGTTTGTTTATATTTAAAATTATTGGTGCTAATCTGTTGCTCATTGTTGTTATCTTATGACATTTACCAGTGTTGTAATGCGTACTGCTGCAGCGTGGTTTTACCTCATCTTGCGATGGGTTGTTTGGTGTTGCTGATTTCGTCTTTACAGTGATGTGGGAACAGCATTAACAAAGTTTTCTGTGACAGTTCCACCGCTGTCAAAGTAGCCTGCTCTGAAACCAGTGTAAATAAAATCTGTAGTAGGGCTGGTCCCAACTAAGAATTTTGTCAGTCAACTCAGATTCACTTGTTCAGTGCAACTATTCAACTATTTGTTCTTTTTTATGTTTAGCCTAGACTGTCAGAAGAACAACTGGCATGAATTTGTTGTGTTTCAACAACATTAACATCGGTATTTAAATGCAAAAGAGTGACAGGAGCACATTGCTGGACAATTAAAAATCAGTAAAAGATGTTAAATTGCGACCCATTTAAACTGATGATATATGACGTCATAGATTTGTCGGAATAACAAGACAGGCAGCACACTGGTATTTTCCTGAAACTGTGCTCTTATAGGCAGGTTTTTCTTCTGAGACGTGGTTATAGCTGAGTATACCAAAAGTTTTAAACTTCTCCCATCAGTTAACCCACAACGCATGTTGTTACTGTGCGTTTGATGTGCACCAGCTCACACTGCAAACAATTCCTCTTATTTATAATTCCTCACTGAAATGTTTTCCCCACACATTTTTGTTAGCTTCCTAGGCCCATTTGGATGGACGCATGTTGCAGAAACAGTTGGTAAATGGCTGTTAGCTGCACTTTAGTGGGGATGGGTAAACAAACCCGAACTCACATAACATTCAGCAAGACTAGCCACGTGGTCGCGACAGTCTGTTCTCTTGTAAAAGCAGACCACAATGTTTGAAAACACTTCTAATAAAGTACAACTGTCACCTTTATGTGGCTTGTCCTAGTGGGTTTTGTTGTACTTTTGTCTTGTTCTGCAGTTTGCTAAATAGATCCAACCTTATGGTTTAATGTTCAGCATGAACAGTTGTAAAGTGAGAGCAAGAAACATCTATGTACAGTCATGGTCAAAAATATTGGCATCCTTGCATTTTTGTCAGATAACAAACCACTTCTCCCAGAAAACTGTTGCAATAAAATATTCTTTAGTATTCTAATGTTTATTTCTTTTGTTTGCATTGTGAACAACACAAAAAGCAGAGAAAAAGGCAAATCTGGTCCAGTCCACACACAACTCCAAAAATGGGCTGGACAGAATTATTGACACCTTGTCAACATCATCAGAAATAGTTGTATTTTAACCATGTGATGCTCCATTAATTTGTAATGAAACTCACCTGTAGCAACCAACAGGTGCTGTAATATAAAAATCACACTTGGAACCAAAGGTTGACTCAGCATTTGTGTCATGTGGACCACACTGAGCACAGAGAAAAGAAATAAGAGCAAAGAGCTGTCTGAGGATCTGAGAACCACAATAGTGGAAAAGCCTGGACAGTCTCAAGGCTCCAAGTCCACCTCCAGAGATCTGGCTGTTCCTGTGTCTACTGTGCCAACATTGTCAGGAAGCTTACAGCACCGTAGCTAATCCTCCTGGACGTAGATGAAAGAGAAACATAGATGACAGATTGCAACACAGGATTGTTCGAATGGCTGTAACTTACATTTTACAAAACACAAGATTTTTACATATGATGCAGATTTTGGTCACTTTTAGTCCGTAGAGTACAGGGTTGATGAGTGGCTGGCATGTAAGCCAGTCTAATGATAAAAAAATGTGCAACATGTTGGGTAAACTGTTCATATTAAACCTGTTCTGTACAACTTCAAAGAAAGCCCCAACAGAAAAGGTCAGCAGAGTAACAAGGTGAGGTGAGCAGGTACTGACAGCTTTCTGTCTGGTCTGTGTAAAGCCAGAAAAAAACATTTTAAGGATCCTGATGTACGTGTAAAGGATTAGTATCGTAGGTCCATACACTGTGATAAAAGTGATAAGAAGTCCATAAACATTATTTGTTGTTGTGTCAAAACAGGCCAGTTTGACAATGGTGTAGTTGTCACAGTAAACTTTGTTTATGATGTTCCCACACAGCTTTAAAGGGGCACTCAATGATATCAAAATGCTGACTTGAAGAAAACCAAATAGCCATGTCAGAACAACGACGGTGGCAACCTTTTTATATGTCATATTTGTGTTATACTGTAGAGGGTAACATATAACAAGATATCTGTTGTAAGACATAATGGATAAGGTATAGTACTCTATATTTGTTTGGTTTGTACCAGATATAAATGGACCTGTTTTCCAACCAACTCTACCTTCAACTCAAATCAAAATCAAATCAGAATTTATTTATATGGCACTTTAAAAGTTCACAAAAGTGCTTTAGAAACAGAGTTAACTATTAAAATAAGTATAAACATGTGGCATAAGTAAAAGCATTTCCCATGCTTCTCCATATGCACTACATTGTATGAGCTGCAGACCTCCTTTTAATGGTTGAACAATGATATTTGTCGCTTAATATCTGAACTGTGCAAAAAGAATAATTCATTCAGGTTTTGCTTTGGTGGCTTGCACACAAGCTAAAACTATAGTGTCCTTAAAGCAGGGGTGTCAAACTCAACGGCACAGGGGGCCAAAACTCAAAGCACACTTTAGGTCACAGGCCGAAGGGGATAAACATTTATTGAACAGACTAAAACGAAACGTTTTTTGAACATGTAGTGGCTAAAAATAAACAAGGTAACAGTATGACCTTCATTTATAGATATTATTTGTAATAGTTGTGTAAGGATGTAAAGGTGAGCTAAGTGTCTATGCAAGCTTGATCTGTTTCTCTTCTGTTGCTCAAGCAGGAATATCTTGGGCTGTGTCCCCCTTGATTAACTTATGGGTAAACATCCCGAGGAAGTCTAGATAGGGAATGGATATACTGTAGCTGCAGCCTTATGTGAACTGTTTGTGTGCTCTGTTCAGATTTGGAAAAAGGAAATGTGCGCTAGGTCAATGCGACGAAGTTGATGTACTGGACATTTCTAGACAACGCTTGGAAGAAGGTGTGTGAGGGTAGCTGGCATGGGACCGCATCTTCATGGCTCAGGCCATGGAGGGCTGTATAAGTGCGAGCAGATAAAAAGCTGGGTTAGAGCAGAAGGAGAGAGAGAGAATGCTACCGTGACAGAAAACCATGTGCTGTTGGACCCGGCTGGGGGGACGCTGACTGACAAAGACTGACTGACTCTGTGACAATCCTCATTTAATACTGTATCTATTCCATTGCAGGAGGAGTGAATCTGTTCTCTGTTCCCTAACTACAAGATTATCTGTTTAAATACTACTCTATTCAGAATAATTGTAATATTAAATGATCCTTTAAATTGGGATGGTTTGTCTGAATTAATTTAGTCAGCATCACACTTTAGCCATGACAAACCTAAATATGAATAGAAACAGACAGGATACAATATTATTCCAAAATAAATAAACTTGAACTTAAAATCAGCAACCATATTTCTGCTAAGGCTTACATTTGCAAACACCTGCTTTTTGTCTGGACACAAGACGTCGCACACTTTCATCATGCAGCTCTTCAGAAACTCTCCCTCGGTAAATG